GAGGCCGGGAGGCGCAGTTCCTTATTTTACGAGGTGTCGGGCCGGTGTCAGACGCAGCTCCGATAAGTAATACTCCAGTCTGAGGGACCAGAACGTGGTAATTAATCCCAAAGACTTAAGTGTATTTTAGTTCAGGAGAAAAAAAATCACTAATTCAATCGTCCGGAAAATTGAAGTTTGATGCATGAGTCCCCCCTGAAAAGGACGGGCTGGGGCCGCATGCCTCCCCTCCACCCTGCCCGTCACAGCGAGGACCCCTCCCCGCTCTCTGAGTCGCCTGAACGTCTCGGTCCGCTCCCCCCGCCCTGCTCGCTCCCAGCTGCCCAACCCAGGGGGACCCTGCCCCCAACAAACTACCTCTTTCTTGGGGCCTAGAAAGCAGTTTTGTGCCAACACAGGTGGGCGCACACGCCCATAGGAGGGGGCCTTAGGGATTCCAGAGGGTAAGGGGAGAGGCCAGATGGGGCAAAGGTCGGTCAAATGAGGGGCTGCAAGGCCTGCCGGGAAAGGGAGGGGGGAGACCCTAAGTGGGCCTCTGTGAGGAGAGGAAGGAGGTGGGAGGCTGCAGTTCCTAGGAGAGGTGCTAGTGTGGCTCCCAACGGGAGTGAGCCGGGTAGAGCTGGTGAGCTGGGCGTTGGAGAGTGGGCCCCGGACCTAGAGTTTCTGTGCAGCAGAATGGAGGTGGGGCAGATCCCTGCAAGCCCAGGGGTCTGGTTCTGGAGGTGTCCACAGGCCCAGGCTCCCGCAGACCTGCTCTGATTCCCGCGTGGAGGAAGACAGGGCTTCCTTGGCTTTGTCACATGTGCTGGTGGGAGGGCACTCCCCGGGAAGGAGGAGAATTCCCACTCTTGTTTCCCTCTGGGGCCCACCTCTGCTCTCTCAGCCTTTATGCTGCTCTCAGCAGCACACCCTCCCCTCCCTCCAGACGCCTGTCCTCGGAGAGGCTTGGGCTGAGAATGAATGTGTGGTGAGCTGCATGGGGGATGCACAGGGCGAGTTCCTGAGTGTGTCATCGAGTGTGCGCAACTGAGAGACCGAGCACGAGCAGCTGATGGATGGAAATGGAGCATGTGCAACTGGGGGTGACTGGGTGTGTGCTGCTGCAATCTGTGTAACTCGATTGTCGATTGTGGAAAGCTAGTGTGTGCAACTAGGTGTAACTAAATTTGTGCAACAGGAGAAACGAGTAAAACGTCACTGGGGTGAGCATAAGCAATGGGTGAGCAATGTTAGAGTGTGAGTTGTGTAAGGGAGCTGGTGTGAGCAGATGACCAGCAGTGAACGTGACGCGGAGCTGAAGCTGCAGGAGGTGACAGGGTGTGTGTGTGTGTGTGTGTGTGTGTGTGTGTGTGGAGGAGAGCACCTGCTGAAGGAGGGTCGCTTACAAGAGGTGTGAGCAGATGGTGGGTGGAGAGCCTTCAGCAGGGCTGAGTGTTTGAGGACAGTGGAAGCCCGAGAAGGAAGGCTTGGGCTCTGCTGTTCGGGAACACTTGGGGCAGAGACCGGTATCCTCTTCAGAGCCCTTGGCAGCGGCCTACCTGCCCTGTTGCCTGCGTCCATTCACTTTATCTCCGGAGTGGTACAAACAGCCTCTGCTGCACCGTCTCAGGTACCCAGTGCACTCAGGGGAAGCTCCTCCTTCCTGGGGGCTCAGCTGTGCCCAAATGGGGAGAGTGTGAATGGCAACAGGCACCCATGCACCAGTGGATGGCGTGAGTCCCATCTACTTGGAATCTGACCCGTGTGTCCCATGTGAAGGGTGTGGGCAGTGCAGGCTGTCCCACAGAGAGCTGTGCTGGGAGGTGTCTGAGGGGTGGGTGCTGTGGAGAAGGAAGCCTGGTTACCTGTGGGTGTCCTGGGTTTCATCAGCACCAGGTGTGTGCAGGGGCTCAGGGTGTGGCTGTGACATCTCTGCGGAGCACCTGCACCGCCACTCCTCACAAATTCAGGGCAAGTCAGGAGCAGGTCCAGGGCTCTGCAGAAAATGCCATCCGGGGCTGGGAGTCTCCTTTGCCAAGAAATGGGGCTTTTCCTCCTCTTCCTCACCCCCTCAGCACAGAAGTCCGGATGGGGGATTGGAGGGAAGGAGTGGCCCCTCCCAGCTCCCAGAGGCCACACAGGCTGAAGCTTCTGCTTCTCCAGAGGGACAGTCTCCTCTCCTGACATCTGCGAGGAGCCCATTGACACCAGTGGCCCCATGTGGATGAAGGCTCACCCAGACAGGCCCATGGGCACTCAGCCAAGCCAGAGCACCCACAGCATCGCACATGGCCTCACAAACACCCCGGGGAATGCAGGCACATAAAGCAGGCACCTCATTACCCAGACTTCCACTTGTAGACACCCAAAACACACACAGCGTCACAGGACGCCTGGACACCCACAGAAATAGCCCCAGCACCCATCCAGTTCTATGCACAGTACAGACATGGGGACAGTGGCACAGGTCACAGTTATCAAAACCATAGGAGCTGGGCTTCCTGATGTTCTGTTGGATCAAAAGCACAGCACAGGGAGCAGGAGGGAGCTGGCTGCAGCGGCTTTGTTGGAAGCGCTGGTGTTCAGATTCTGAGGGGTCCAGCAGCAGACAGGAGTGGGCAGACAGGCCTCGCCCATCTGGGGGAGCTCCCAGTCCTTGGCCCAGCAATACCAAACCCTCCACCACCCCAGAAATGCAATCAAAGCCGCCTGCCACCCACCCGCCCTGCACAATGGCTCTGGCTGGAGTCGTTATCATTTTTGTTAACTTTTTATCGACTGTTTGCTAGATGGCGTGTCAGTAAAGTGTATGATTTGAGATGAAAAATTAGGCAGATTAACCTGAGGGGAGAGCCTGATTGATTACTAAATAGGATCAATTTGAAAGTTTTAGTCCTGGCGTTTCTGCAGAGCCTCTTAATACTTCAAACTTCAATTTTACGGGCGATTGAACTAAGCATGTTTCTGACAAAATTGATATATGTATTAATTTGCTTTAACTGGTGATTAATTACTCTCCACTGAAAGAATTATATGGAGCTGTTTGCCTGCGATTTGCATATTAATCAAATTCTAGTTGATAATTCCACGGTGGGGGGGTGGGGCGGGGCATGGGGCACAGGGTGTGAAGGGGCGTTTTTTTTGGCGTGCCGGTGTGTGCGCCGGTGTAGGTGGGGGGCTCTCCTCCCCCGTTTCTTTGCTCTCTCCCTGCTTAGCTGCCAGTTTAGTGCATTAAAACCAAAGATGCAGAACGAGTTTGCCCGGCTATTTGGCGGGAGCAGAAATTGCCTGTCCGGTTTTATGATCTGCTCAGCCTGAGCAGCCGGGTCCTTAATGTCCCCTGTCAAAGTGTCCGCGATTTAAAGGGAAAACGGCCCCCGCTTTAGCGCCACACCAGCCTGACAAGGGATGAGGCAGGGACAGGAGCACCCCCTTAAATTACTCCCTCTAAAGGACCCGATTGCGGGTGGTGCCCGGCCCTGGGGACCCTCGGGGAGATGGAGCTGTGTCCTTGAGCAGTGCAGTTCCTGGGACATTCTGGCCACTGGACCCCAGCCACCGCTAGCGCAGGGGGGCACTCACAGACATTGTCACTGGAACTGTTGGGCCAGAGCCACTGTGGTAGACACGTGCAGAGGCCGCTGCCCCGTCACACTCCTGTTCATTTAGACCCCCACTCTCAGGCCTGTTTGTAGACACACTCAGCAGCCCACATGCACACCCCACGCACAGAGCCACACACAGGCAGAGAACACACAGACACCCAAGTCACGTCCGCAAGGCCTCTCAGGCACCCGTGCTCAACACACACTTAGCGCACACATTTTCAGATCCACACGCAGACCTGGTCCACACGTGAGGCATGGAGCCCTTGCGTAGGACTCTCACAGCCCTGTTCCAGAAGCTGGCCAGTCACAGCCAGCGCAGGCAGCGTCCTCCTTGCCTCTCCCTCCCAGGCCCACGGCCCTGCCTGACTCTTTAAGCTAAAAGGGGCGGTGTCACCAAATCAACTTTTCCAGATTCAAAGGGTAGGAGTGTAATTAAAACCAGATAATTAATGAGACAATATTCCTCCAGCTACATCTTTAATGAACAAACCCCTTCAGGGCAGCCTCTTCTTCTAGGCTCATTAAAGAAAGTTGGGCGGCTCGCGGACTTGCAGCACGTTAATAAACAACCGGGGTGGGTGCCTCGGCCTGCAGCAGGAGCCCGGCGGCGCTCCCGGCCCACACTCTCTTACCACTTGCCCATTTGACCCACCTCGCATCCCCTACCCCTTCGCCGGCAGGGCCCCTGTCTCGGGCAGCGCCCAGTGTCTTCACTGGGTCTCCCCGCAGCCTCTCCCCAAAGGAGGCGAGCGGTGTGGCTCAACGGCTGGTGTCCGAATTCCCAGTGGCCGAGTACTGAGAGCTTCAGGTCGTCCGGCAGATGGGGCTGGCTCTATAAAGGGGAAATCGAGGCAAGGTAGAGACCTTAGCTGTGCAGAGCGCTGATTTCCCTTCTTGGGAACTCGCGGACCGGCAGGGAGGAGGGACGGGAGGAGATGGACTTCCTTTACACACCGCCCTTGCTCACTCCTAGGAGCGCGCACTAGCAACGACGGGCTTGTGCACTCGCGCGCACGCGAGCGTGCACACACACAGAAACGCCACTAGTGCGTGGCCGTCCACGTGCATGGTGTCGATGCCTGGGGTCCAGACGGTGCAGCCGGAGAGCCCGAGAGCCCGGCCCGGGCCCACACCCGCCGGCGTCATTCGTCTCCAAGTGGGAC